TAAAGGTTAAGCATAAGTAAATAAATGAAATTATAGATTAATATATCTATTAGTATGTTTACATGTTTGCTTTTATAAATAACATAGATAATTCATATATAACAATAAAATGGGTCTAAGGAGACTTAAATACGAAAATTTAACTATTACAAATATTCGGAAGACTCCTAGTTGAGGAAGTAGAAAAAAAAATAGCGTCTAAATAAAGATGGTGTTTTCCTTGAATAGATGGATGAGAAATTAAAAACAAAGTCAATCATGATAATGGATTTTTTAAAGAAAGCTGTTCTATTAGAAGGAAAAAATTCTAAAACGGATGATATTTAATAATTGATATGTTTTGTGGGAGAAATTATTCGGGGTGCCACTGGATAATTATTACTGATAATTACCTAGAAATATTTAATAAAAATTAGTAAAAGGAAATTCGGATCTATAATATGCTGATTTGTCCAGGATTACTTAATTGAAATTCTTTTCTCAAAGGCTGGTTTGTCTTTATCATTACTTTCTAATTACCAACATTAGCTGTGATAATAATAATATAAATAGGTGGCGGAATTAAAAATAACTTTTTCTTTTGTTCATTTTTCCTAATTTTGCTGTCTTGAACTTTTTTATTTTTTACAATAAGTTAGGCCAATTTAACCAACATTTTATTGATACGCAGTAATTTGATGTTTCGACCATATTAAGGGTCATTTTCAAATCTTGATGAGTCCTCTGTTAAATGTTCATCATTGATGTTGTAATTAATATGTTCAGTGAACATTAACTTGTTGTATATATATATAAATTATTTATATTTTATTTATTACCTATTTACATATATATAGCCATGATTAAATTCATTAGATTATAATTTTATTTGGATTGTTTTCAATATAAATTGTTCATTAACATACCCACGTTATTTGCATATGATATATATATATATATATATATATATATATATATATATATATATATATATATATATATATATATATATATATATATATATATATATATAATTTATTGAACAGATTAATAAATTAAGTTTTTTTCGATAAAGTTATTTTTTAATTTTGTATACAACGTCAGTCCCTTCACAATTTATATTGAAAACAATCCAAATAAAATTATAATCTAATGAATTTAATCATGGCTTTGAATGAATATATGATATAGATATATGCCTGATGATATAGGACTGATTTCGGATATATGCCATAAAATATTGTAACATTAATAAATCTTCGTTTTTTCGGCAATGAAACTTAACTGTTGTTTAAGAAATGGTGTAGTTAGTAGCTCGGGTTGTTCTTCTCTGAGGTTCCTTCCCGCATCATCTGCTTGTATGTCATCTAGTCGAATGAAAGCCAAGGTCCAAACGATGCCATGCTGCTCATCTCCTGTTGTCATACAGACCTTGGAAATCTTTTACTCCATTACCCAATATACCCCATCTCTGTATTGTATATCTTGAACTGTTTACATATGCATGTAGCTCTATTACACTTTGTTAATTCAATCTCTCTTCTAGTTCATCTAGCCTTCAGTCTCTTGTCTTTTATAGATGGATCCATTGTTGCTCAGAAGCTTCCTGATCGATTGCTCAGATTTACATCCCCCACCCATCTTAACTTCCTGGCCATCAAATTATAATATATTGATTGATAGGTTTCTTCAGGCGTGAGTACTCTGATTATCGAGCGGAGAATGTTTCTCTCAAACCTTTCAGTAATTCTTTCTAGAGCTCTGTTATTGTCAAGTTCACCCACCTGTATGTTCTCCACCCTTAATTTGAAATTCCTTGATATTTTTATAGATTTTGAAAGACAGAATTAAGTTCAGTTTCCGCTTGTGATTAAGATCATTGATCATTCATTAAGTTTATTTTGTATTCATTTAAAGAGTGGAGGTATTAGCAGGGAGTCAAATAATGGCATTTACTCTCCTGCGAATCATGGTGTCGATGCCGTCCAGTATCGCAGGACGCAGCTTCGTGAGGGGCGCAGTTTGGAGACGGTAAGTAAGACCCGCGAACATATAGAGATTGACAATGTTAAGCTTCGCTTAGGTTTAAGCAAGAGGTTACCAGCTTATTGACATTTTCATTCAATTTGGTCACCGAATCATCGTTGAAGTGTAGCTCTCCCTAGAATGTACATCGTTAATAATTAATCATATCTCCATTTTTCAATGTTTGGATGTACTCTCTATTTTCAAGGAAGAGCATCGCAGTTTCCAGCTCACCTTTATTTAGAACATGGCCATGGTTTTTTGATGGTTTATAGCCAAACAAATTTCTTGAAATATCTTCTGTACGCTGTCGATAACTGTTTCTGCAACCCCCTTATCTCGCGCCAACACAGCCTGGTCATCTGCGAAACCTGTGAAGAACACACAACCTTGGTCATTTCTTAATTTATATCCTAATTTCTTAGAAAAGTCTTCGCAATAAAGATGGTCGAAGGCCAGGTGGAAGAGCTAAGACGACAAGGGGCCGCCTTGGGGTACACCTAGCCGCACTTTGATCTGGCTAGTTGTCCATACCATCAATAATCATTATAGTGTTCGTGCAAAGGAGAGCCGATATATAACCGAATTTTTAAGATTCGGTGACACGCCTCTTGCTTCTAAGGAGCTCACGATGTGTTTGTTGTTAAAAGCACCAACAACGTCAAGGAAAACTATAGCACAATCATTTTTCATTCTTTTCTTCATTTTTCACTTGCGTCTGTTAATATTTACTTGCGGTGATTTGCGTTCCTGGGAGGCCTTTTATAAAGCCTCTCTGATTCCTGTGGAAGGTGTCCTGCTTTCTTAATTCGGGATCCAGAACCTTCTCTATGATTCGGCTCACAAGGGAATAGATGGTGTTATGTCTCCAGTTGGAAATATTGTTTAAATCACCTTTGCCTTTGTATATTAATATTGTACGCCCCAGTCTAAGTGGTTTTGGAATATAGGCCACTTTTAGCAATATCTTTATAATCGCTTTTTTATGTATGATATATCAAAATATTTGATTGTTCGGATCAGAACTCCATCGGGTCCCGGCGATGTGTCCTTTGATGTTGATTTGATGGCTTTCTTGATAGCTTCTAGCTCAATGGACACCAAATTTGGTATCGGAGAACACTGTTCGTAATCCGCACGAATGCAGAGATTTTCTCTTTCAAAGGGGTCTGTATAATGTTTTTCAATTTCGTCCATTTTTAAAGGACATCGCTTAGGAGCATCGGCATTCATAATAGTTTGCACAGCCTTTTTCCTTTTGTTTTAATAATTAAATTGTGCAACCTCATACTGGTATTGTTCTTGCCAACGACTCCTGTCTACTTTGTTTGCTCTCTTTGAATTTTGAAACTTGTTCAGTAGCATTGTCAGCCATTTTCATTTTTTTTTTTGTCATCCTATATAATTATACAACTGGGTTCCACCTGACCTGGGAGTTCCACATCGATATCTTTGAGAAAGTTTAGGAACTTACCCACGATCTCATCTAAACCCGCAGTATTTACCATACTTTGTTTTTACAGTTTTTTTAACGTAGTAGACCATCCAACAATGTCCTGTTTTGTTTTTGATATCTCGAACTCTAGATTTGTAGGGCCTATTATATTCTTCACCAGGATCTTCAGTGTATTATGGGGAAAACTTTATCATCAGGGCGTAGAGCCTCATCCTTCTGTCCACTATGTGCCTCTGCGACATTCTCCGGACCATTATTCTATCTGGGAAAGACATCATATATCGACACCTTTCCCAATATCACTCCTTCTGTGTCGGGCCGTTCTACTTTGACAAATTTTTATTCGCCGCCTCCTGCAGTAGCCGCAGCCATCACAGAGGCAACAAATGCCTCTTGAACAGGTCCTCCAGTTCTCAGAACCCTTTTGGCCAACTTCGATATTTTTCATTGGTCTTTTGTTCATTGCAATACTACTTCTCCATTCGTTATTATACCCACAGAGCCCATGTATGAAACAATCTATTTAAAAAAGTGTGAATTTTAAAAATAAATAAATAAGTACAAAGTTAAAATTTAAAGAATCAATAAAATGCTAAAAAGTCTATAAATATATAAAATAAATAGCATTGAAATAAGTTACAATATAAAATCAATAAAAAGTAAAAATTTAAAATCTAAAAAAATAAATTAATAAATTAAAATACAAAAAGACGAAACGATAAAAAAAGTATAGATTTTGAATTTAAAAAAAGTTAAAATCTAAAAAATTAATTTCCTAAAAATAAGTTACAATATAAAATCTGAATTACACAAAAAAAAAAACTATATTTACACATATTCGCATCTATATTAATAAATTTAGTATTTTGCCCAAAAATATAAAATCAATATCTATATAAAAATCTAAAAAAAAAAATAAAAAAAAAAAGATAATTTCCTAATAATAACTTAAAATATTTGTACAGTTATCTACACATGTCTCAATAATTTGAATAAATTATTTTAAAACTTCATAAAAATAATTAACCATGAAAAAAAAAACATTTCTTTTCTTTTATTTATTTTTTTAATGAGAGAAAGGGATATTACTTGTAAACAATAAAATTTGTTGGTCTCCTTCGACGACGCTATCTATAACACGACAATGACCTTGCTGTAGGTGACTACTGAGAAGTGGTGGGGGCCTGCAAGTTATACGAGTAGGCTGCAAAATAGATAGCCCGGTCCCGCAAGTACATCAACATCGCTACATTCTTCTCCTGGGCAATATCCTCACTCAATTTTTTCAGGATTTTATAAACAGGTCTCTATTATACAGCTCCGTGCAAATTTCTGGCTTGAATGGATGAAAAATACCAAATCAAGAAGGACACTGACGTGGAACCGATCTGCCTCTCTCACCGGCTTGAGCCGAACTCAATATATAATAATAAATAAAATTGTTTATGTGGATCTAACAAATCGACACCTCTTTATATCACACCGAGAATAAATCGTAGTTGTCGAGTGATCATGTCATCTCCTCTTTTCCTGATAGTGATCAGGATGATGCCCAGATGATGGAGCAGTTGAAGAAGGTGCAGCTAGGGTAACATCGGTCTGAAAGGAGGACAGGTTGAGGACACGGCATCACAAGAGGTGGCGGCTGGATACTTCCACCGTTAGTGCTTCCTCCTGGCCAGAGAAAAGTTCTTTGCATCGAATCCCATAAATTGCCTGAAAGAAGAATAAGAAGTTTCCCCGAACTGCAGCGGGGGCACCTGTACTGGAAGGCTCTAGTCCACCCAAGGATATTGCCAATGCGGTGGCCCAGACCATTCAGTCACCTGATTGGTCGACCTCCCTTCACAAGTTAGAACAGCTGGTTTATCTCCCTTCAGCTGATCTATGTCCTCCCTCAAACTGTTGACTTGTTGACTTCAAGATTTTCCTTGATATTCAGGATTTTATTCTCTTTTCCTTTTCTTGAAGAGACCTTGAAAAAACATTTTGGTCCACTGGACACGATTAAATAGTTTTTTCTTGCCTTATTAGCAATGTTTCGCAGTAAAGGAGAAAATTGCATGGTAAGTTGTAAAGTCATCTGCCTTACGTGGTCGCAATCAGATGTCGGTCGTAAAAGTGGACATACCACTGGCAATCCAATCCTCATACAGCGAACAAACGTAGAATTTTCATGAGTGCTCATATAATCAAACTGCAAGTGGGCAGCGGCGAGCACGGCCAGAGAAGTAGGTCTCTTCAAAGGTGGACTGCAGTGGGCAGTATAGCAGTTGGCAGCACTGGGCTATGTAACGGACGGGGTCAGACTGTGTATTGCGAAGTCTACGGTTTAGGAATTGAACGTAGGACTGGTTTACAGCTAGGGCTACAATCCATAACAAGTAGTTTAAGTGACAAATCACAATAACAATTAACCAAATTATTGTTTATAATAAAAATAAAATAAATTAACGCTGTGGCGTTAACACATATATATTATTAATATACGGGTTATTTGAGAATCTGTGGTCTTTGGCATTTCTAATATAATTAGTTTTTGCTTAAATAATTGAATAAGTTGCATCATAATTTTTATTATTTTTAAAAACAATCTTCATCTTCTGAGCATCCTTTACTTGTCATTTTAAATTACTAATGATCAATAGTCTCTAAAGACTATAACATTTAAGTCTTAATACATCGTAACTTTAAACATTAAACTTTCCTAACTATTCTCCGCAGATTTCGTGGTTCTAAATTAGGTCCAATTCTCAAATATATATTATATTTTTCGAATTGTTCAACTGAATAATTTAAAAAAAAATCAGTTGTTCATAACCTCTTTTTTTCTATATTTTAAAGGAAAAATTATAAGTTTTATGCTACACGACGACATATAGGATTTTCTTTTTTTTACAGCATTGGAAATGTGGATTGCATTAATATTTTAATGCCTGCACTGGCCCTAAAATTTTGTTTGAATTAATTCTGTTTATGTTTTTTTGAAAGGGGAAGGGGTTTGTATGATCAGAGTATATTTTAGTACAGTTAAAGTGCTACTCAAAGCGGAATATTTTTCAGGATAATCACTCTTACTTACAAAACATTTCTAAATTGATGGTGCTTAGAGGCCATTTGGGAGCTTTATCTATCAAAGGGTTCGGATTTTGTTGGGAACTTTGAGCTCCGAACGTTTATTAAAGGGAAGAGAGCTTTTCAGAGTTGGTTATGGGAACCGTAGGTTGCAATAAAACTATACCACGAGACCACACAGTGGTGAATCCTTTGTCAATGTGATACGATCCTTTTAGAAATTTCAGAGAGAAACATATATATTCAACTGTCGGATACTATGATTTCGTATTATACGTTGATTAATATTAAAATTAAAACACAAATTATTCTATTATACATATAGTCATAAAATCATACATTCAAGTTTATTTCAAAGAAGATATATATATTTTTTGTATACTTATTTATTCAGAATTATTTCATTCTGTCACAATTAAGGACATATTTAAAAAATTAAAAGAATTTTATTAGCTTGCAAACAACTCCTCGAATTCTTCTTGCTGGTCCCTTATTGACTTTAGGCTCGGATAAATCTCGTCTCATACAGAATAATTGATTGGTATGGAGTAGACATATTACTATATTAGTTTTGAATAATATTTATACTGAATTATAATATTGAATGCTGTGATGTAGATTATGGTGCTTATGTTACGAGATTTGCTATCTAACTTAATGAAACGCTTTCTGTTTATTTTACAGAAAAGGATCCATTTCCTATCGATGCTCTTCCAACATGCAACCACGCATCCTCTGTCTGTCAGAAGGACGTGGCCTGTTGGGAAATTTTCGATAACTTCAAGACGCATTGCAAAGTCAGAGAGGGCAAATGCCAAATGGAAGACAGGTCAGTTTTTTATTTTCTTCTAAACACTATTTTCTTTATTTATATTAACATAACCATAATATACCGTTACAGTTTTTGTTGTTTATATATATTATGTATCTTATAATGATACACAATGGCAATATGACACGGCGAATATGGCATAGTATGGCGAATCCAGCGGGACAAAAGTCTCGAAGCCAAGTTATTAACAATAAAATATTTCCTTCTCATCCAGACTAATCTGTTAATGTTAAAAAAAAAGAAATCATTGAATGATACATACCTATATACATACCTATATACAATATTTACAATCAACGAAGGAAAATTAGAATATCATTTCGGACTGGGCTAGTTCCAAGAAATTCAATACGAATTTAACCAAGCATTGAACACTCAGCCAAAAAATGGAATAGGTCCTCCTTCTTAACTGGTAAGTTACAGAGTGGACAATCCGTATATTCCCTGTCAAGCCACGGGGTGTAATTTACATAAAGGAGTTCACACCTGCGCTTGAACAACCAACTCAACTCAATTCGCTAGATAGTAGGTAGGGACAGAGGAAATCTCGTTAATCCATTCATGCGCGTCACTAATTAGATGACGAGGCATTTGGCTAAAATGTATGAGAGCCATGTCGACTTATACAAGTCGACCATGACTCCCATGGTATTTGCAGTAGACCCGCAGGACAGGCCTGTCCTACCTACGGCGCCTCTCCGTCGTCGCCGCTTCGACCGCCACATACGCCCTTCCGTCCCACCTATCACCACTTCACTGGCGTAGCACACTGCCTTAAAATACCGTTTAGGTCTGGCACAGAAACCTCCGTCTCAAAGCCGCCCATTTGAATTTTCTCAAAGGACGCCCAGGCCGGCACAGTGCAGCGAGTTTTCTTCGGAAAGTGCTCCGACACATCCTTCGGTTACTAACTCGATTGTGCCTACTCTGTGAGACGTATCGACGTTGGCCGTTCCCTATGACTTCTTTCGAGTGGTCATACGGTTGAACCTTGCCCAATTCATGCTAGACCCTTGGAGCACCCGAGTCGTCACCCCCCTGAGAATCCTCGGAGGTATCCCAAAAGAGATGAGATCGGCATAGCTCTTCGGGCACCACACTCCTTTCCACGAAACTGTGATTGTAGAAACAGTCACATGTTCCGCTGGGACTTCGAGCCTGTCGGCAACACCTACCATCAGGCTCTACACCTACTCATTGTCAGCATAGTAACGCCTCTTGGTCTCGTGTACCGAGTCCGAATTGGGTCTACCGCTGACGCCTTGGGCGTCTAGAATGAGTGCCGCTCCGTCTTTCTTAGCCAATATATCCAGCTTTCTCAGCCCCATCTCGGAATGCACATGTGACTCAAAGTCCACCTCCCAACCCTTTGTAGCCAAAGCACCCCCTACAATCTTGTAGACTGAATTGTGGCGAATAATGCGGCCCCCATGGGTGCGATGGCATTGTTGGACAACATGTGCAGCGGTCTCCGATACTTGCCTGGCATATTGTTGGCATCAGGTGTCTCCTCGCTCCCCTGCTCGTGCGAACTCGAGTCGGCAGAGATCCAGACTGCACGTGAATATACTGGACGAAGTCACGGCCAGGAATCCCTGTGGACCCTGAAGTTAGCCACTGGGTCTGAGGTCCACTCCGTAGGTAGAGGAGTGCAGCTTATTGTCCCAGTGTGATTCGTAGGCAAAGCTACTATCCACTAGTATCCCATGCTTCCTCAGTGAACGGGCTGCCCATGTCATTCGTCTCTGCACACTACTATGAATCAAAGCCGCTCTAGCTAGCCGACTTTCGCTATGTTCCATAGCAATTATTCTATCGTGGAGCACCTTTGGCACCGTCGTTACAAAATTTGGGATACCAAGGCCTCCACACTTGCCGTGCGTATGGAAATAACCTACTGAGACGTCCTTGGGCAACCTCAACCAGTCCCGTACAGCCTTTCTCACCTGCTTGTCAAGCTGCAGCAGTCGTCCGACCGTAACTCTACCCAACACCAGCCCATGCATCAACCTGGGAATATAATAGGTTCTTAGTAAAGCCAGCCGCTGTTGGGGCTTGAGCGGCGCTTTGGAAATATTCATATAATTATACGTATTTTTGGATAGTTTTTGTAGCAAATGTTTCAAAATCAACCAAATTTATTTCATATCCTGATTACTTGAAGAATAACATTAGACCTCTGGGTAAACTCCTCATTGATTTATGTGATCTGTGCAGCGGTAGTAAAATGTTTGAAGAATCTACGTGCAGATCCTAGATCCCATCATTAGTGATTCCACCAATTAGTTTAGGAATACCTATTCTTCGAAAATTATCAATGTTAGCATGCATCATAGCATAGTAGTATCATCAATGGCAGCCACTTTTTGCTTGTCTTCATCGCTTCTAGCTTGTCATCTTTTTATTTCTAACTTATAAGGAATGTGAAATACGCACTCTATACATCTTACATATCAGTGAAGAACTGATAGACCCCATGAAAAAGCTTCTTCTTGCTTCTAAATAGTTCATCTCTTTGCTTGTCGCATGACAGATGTAGAACTTTTGAGTATTTTTATTATGAGACAAAGTATTGATAACTTGTATTTTTTTATGTAACGTTTCAACCATCACTAGGACCATTTTCAAGTCTGGAAAAATTTTTATGTTAGTTTATATTTACATTTACAAAAAAATGTATTTAACATAATTAACTAATCTAACGAACCATGTCATACAATTTCAATACTCATAGATTTGTATATTTCTTAAAACCTTTCATGTACATAACTTTACTCATTATATACAATGATTATTACCTTATTGAGTCCTCCATTAAATTTCCATTATTGAGTGTCGTATTAATTTTTCAGAGAAAATTAAGTTGTCCTGATATTTTAGAGTTTCTAGTACGTGATTTCTGGAGGGACGGAATAATATCGTCCTGGTGGGGGTAGTCAAAGGGAGAGAGTTTTTTCTTCTGCTGTTTTGCGATAGAGATTTATTTTATCTAATTTATGTTGGTAAATAATGGCCTAAATTATATAACAAATAATACCTCAAGACACCAATTCTAGGAATAGTGAACAGAAGTATTGGTAACCTTACCATCCACCATTGTTTCGTTGCAACTGGATGTAAGAGTAACGTTGTGTCCTTCTAGTTCTACAAAAGTAACCGTGATAGTACCTATTGTTGTTTTAATTCTGCTTTATTGCCAGATCAAATATAGAAATTGAGAAGTCCAAACACAAAATCCAGGTCGTAGCCGTGATAAAAAAACAGTGAATATAATAGAGAAAGAAACGCCTTGTTGACCTACTCAAAACTACAAGAGCTAGTGAGAGATTACAAATAGATTTGTCACTGAAAAACATGGAAAATAATATTGCATAATAATATTAAAGAAAATTTATGATAAACAAAAAACATATTTTAACTAAACATAGAGAGAAGAAATAAATCCATTTCACGCTACCTCTTTACTCACGTCAGCTGTGTGTACATAATCTGCCTCCTCAAAACTCCACTACACACTCGTTACAGCCACTTTGACGTTTTGAAATCGAATCACCACACAAAATCTTGTTGATTAAGTTTGTGGATTTTTCTAATTTCGGATTTTGCCACTACTCGGAGAGGAACTAACGAGGAACCTCAAATACTTGAGTCATCAACAGTGTCTTCACTTTTTTGTTTATACTTGTTGTGGCTACCACAAACGCCATACCCCAATTTAAGTATTATTATGGATTCTGACTACTGCTTATTGATAACATAGTCTAGAATAGTATAATCATCGGATACAGATGAATGTTTTGCGGTAAAATTAACCAGGGCTTGAAGATTTTTTTATAAGAGTATTAGCAATCACAAACTCTTTGTAAAGATTCTTGCATTAAGCATACTGGTACCTAGTAATTTTTAAGGAAACCATTAAGAGCTCCATTAGGGGTGTATGGAACTTCCAGTTTTTTAGTTGTAGAAGACTTAATGCTTTTTTTTTTTTTTTTTTTTGTAATTTTTGTATCACGTTTCCGAGAATTTAATAGGCTTTTCACCGTTTTTTTCCACATTACAGTAACCCTGTAATGGGTGCATATATTTCATACCATCTTGCGACATAACGCTTATTGAGATACATAGTTTAAGTAACATAGTATTGATATATTAAAATTCTTTGAATCATTAGAAAATTAAATAAATAAATGTATATAACAAATTACATTAATATAAGTAAATAATTAAATATAATATGCAATAACTGAAATGATAAACAATAGTGATAAATTAGAGATTAGCTTGTGAAAAATAGAATATTTACAACAGAAATGTTACACGGTAGGATAATAACAATGGATAAAGGTTTAGGATAAAAATTAAGGATTTATAGGAGACCAATTTGTATCTGTATTTATCCAGTCTAATGCAGTCATACAGGAGGTGGTCGTATGTTTGCTCACTGTTGCCGTCGCATTTGCAAATTTTGCTGTCGCTTAACTTAAATAAGAATAAGTAGCTTTTGGCTGCTCCGTGTCCTGTCAAACATTGTACTAGTTTAGGTGATTCTTTTTTAAGTTTGATTCTTTCTCCTAAATTTTTAATGTAGTCGTAAGTTTGTCTGCCTTTTGTTGATGTGGTCCAGATTTTGTCCCACGCTTGTCTTGTTGCTGTTCATAGAAAGTGTTTACTCGCGCTAGTCGGTGCCTTGTTGAATATTATCGGGAGTACTTTTCCCCTTGCCGCAGCCTTAGCCGCTTCCTCCGCTAGCTCGTCCCCCAAAATGCCAGCGTGTGCCTTTACCCATTTAAATTCAATATTTATGCCTTGGCTGTAGAAACAGATCAACGCTCGCCTGATCTCCTCGACAAGGTTTTCATGTATGTTTATGTTCTTTAGTTTATTTATTGTGATTTTATTAACAGTATGTAAACAGTAATTAGCCTTGTTATCAGAGTTCTTAATGTAGAGTATGGCGTG